TCAGGTGGATCCTTTGGTTATACCAGAAGAGAACCACTTGGAGTATGTGTGGGAATAGGAGCATGGAACTACCCTTTTCAGATTGCCTGTTGGAAGTCTGCTCCAGCTTTAGCTTGTGGTAAGAATGAATTGTTCCTCTACTTAGGAGCTATCTGTTCTCTCCCTATTGTCTACCCCTTGTCTCTCCCCACACACACATGCTTCAATCAGAAGGGACCTGCTCTGGGGCATACAGAGATTCAGAGGAGATGGTTGCATTCCTGCTCTGCCTTGCACCTTATGAACTTACAATTCAAGTCACACACACAGATCATGTCAATCCTATTCCCATTTTTATGTGTCTATTTATTCTTGTATTTGGAAAGAAGAGAGTTTATTTTGAATTAGACATCTTATTTTCACTGTCAGATTGAATTAGATCTGTGCTACTACTAAGTTCTCTTCCTGTACCAAGAATTTCTGTGTACTAAGTAGCACTTAGAGTTTGCCTGAATTTAGAAAGCAGAAAATAAACTTCCTCCTTTATTTGTATCTTGAGAAAAATCTTAAATAGGGCATCTATCAGAGATGTTTTGGCTTGAGTGACCTAAAAACCTTTTCTCATACTAGTTAAAAAAAGAATCTGTGGGACAAGAAGACATATCTTAGAAAAATCTATGATGTTAGAGAAGCATTACTGTTAGGATACTGTATTGACATATAGTTTTTGTCTTATTGCCACTTTGTATTCTTGTTTTAGCATACTCCTGTGTGAGAGGCAGCTGTGATAGAATAGAAATGGTGTCAGAATTAAGTCATGAGCTTTTGAGACTGTTATCGAATTAATTACTCTTTCGGGACTTTGTTTCCAACTTCTACAAAATGAGACTAAACATGCCTACTTTGTATTGCTGTTGCAATTATAAAATGAAATAATTTATGTGAAATGACCTAGATATGAAGGTATGAGTATTATTGTTGAGATTGGGCAAGCATATGCTTTGAGATTCATTTAATGAGAGAAATCAAGATGAGAAGAACAAGATATGTTTACTTTTTTTTTATTATTTGTGATTTGGGTAATACAGAACAAGTTCACTTTCCATACAGCAGCTTACATATACTTTGTCTCACGACATTGACTTCAATTTCCCATGATG